ATGTGCGCGTATTGACATACGCGTATACGCAAAATACGCTCGTATGATACGCGTATGCATAGTTCACTTATATCTGAGCTGCACTGTATGTCAATAATCAACTTGTCTCAAAATTTCAAGCACAATTGCGACATGCTCTTGTTTCATTTTTAGACAGAGAGAGCCTACCAGAAGCAGGCACCAATTTTTCAAAACAAGAAACGTATCCTGGGTCAACAAGTCAAGAAGGACAAAAAGGAACTACGATATGTGAGGAATGTTGGTCTGGGATTTAAGACTCCTAAAGAGGTGATGTAAATCTTTAATTTTTGCTAATAGACCACACATGACAGGTTTATACAGTGTATATGCAGTGTAGTTAAACCCAGTGATGTCTGTGCTGACCATAACCAACCATGACGTGCGTTGGACTTTGTTCCACTTCTGATGTCATCGGTTTTGACCAAAACTGGCATCATCTACTGTATACTAAGTTCTGCAGGAGGAAAAGGTCTTTCCAATGAAACCCAGATCAGAGTGATTGGCTCAGTGGAGTATGAAATATATATGAAAATGCTTAGAAATTGTTGGAGTGAAAAACTCAGAGCAAAATTTCCTGCAACTACACATAGCTACTCCATGGTAAAAATTACCTGTCTCGGTGATGTCTCCTCAGAAATTTTGGAACTGGAACCAAGCCCAGTAGAAGGTCAATCACTGCAGCAAAAAGATAAGAAATGGAGAAAAAGGAAAGGCGAAAAAAAAATTTAAAAAAACGAAAAGCTTAAAGACGTAGTTCACTTTCATGACTGAGCAAAAATGTAGTGAAACTCGATGCTAGTGAAACGAAAGGCATGCTGTCAAGTTGCAAATGCCTTTTTGAGTAGATTGGAACTAATTTGGCTCATATCCAGGCTGAAAATCTCCAAAATTAATAAAATGTCCAAAAATGTTTTTTGTTCTTTTTTTTTTGGCAAAAAGCTCCAGAAGTCAATGGGTTAATGTAGTGAATTTTAGGTCAAACCAAGGCTGTGAGCAGGCTCACCTTTGAGTCACACACACAAGTGGCGAAGAGTGAGTCGGTCAGTGAAGCTATTTGGCGGGGTGAAGTTTATTGAAGAGGTGCCAAGAAAGTGAGCCTGCCTTGATCTCTGTAAATTTTTTATTTCTTCTTTGCCTGAGTGAAGTGAAATACCATTTGCCAAAAGCAGGAAAGGCGAGAAAATTGTCAATTTATGATGTTTGATGAGGAGCGATTAGATCCCCACAGAATCGTTAATTTATCAAGCAGTTCTCACAATGTCAACAGTCATCAACATATGGAGTCAGAGGAAGAGTCTATTTCCAGTCTAGTGGGTGCAGTAAATAGCAGTTGAAAGTACTTCTATAAATCGAGATGCACTTGTCTTATTGCTCAATGGATATGGCAAGAGTTAATTACAAATGTACAGTACCTGATGACAAGTGGGCAACGAAACAACACTTAGGCGTTTGCTTGCTTACCAGCATCATCGATGAGCAGGTTGCCGAAGCAAGATCACTTTGAGTCAAATGTATGTCCTTGCTACACATGAACTTTCACAGTTTTTCTTCAGCAAAACTTCATCAACAACAGACTTTGCATCTGCTTGTTGTTATGGAAAAGAATTAAAATTGTCCCAAGAAATTTTAGCTGGCAAACTTTATTCTTCTGATGAAATATAATTGGCTTATTTCTCCCACAGTTTCTGGGTGGAATTAAAAATTTACAGAGATCAGAACATGCTCACTTTCTTGTCTCGTGCCTTTATCACTCAGTTCGTATTCCCCAGACATGAGCCCTCTCATGGGCTAGGTCAAACCTGGCATTTTGTTTTACATCTATTTCTCGGGCAGAAAGTTTTGTCCATATAAATGGATGCTCTTTTTAAAGGTACATGCTCTTTTTAAAGGTACACACAACATGCTCAACATGTGATTATATCTTTACAGGCCATCGAGGGAACATACATAGACAAGAAATGCCCCTTCACAGGAAATGTAAGCATCCGTGGCCGTATTCTGACAGGCATTGTTGCGAGCATGAAAATGAAGCGTACAATTGTGATCAGACGGGATTATCTGCATCACATCAAGAAGTACAACAGATTTGAAAAACGGCATAAAAATCTTTCTGCCCATCTCTCTCCCTGTTTCAGGTTTGTGAAGTGTTTGGTTTGTATAATTTACAGTGCAATACATGATAATCATTTGTACATTTGTGTAGATTGCTGTGCTTATAAATATTATTATCAAGGGTACAAAAGACTTGGTTTGTCTTTGAAGCTCGTCTGGCTCCTAGTCAAATATAATTATATTATCTGTAATAAAACAAACATCATTTGATGTTCCTTGACAGTAGACCCTTTGATCAAATTTGAATCCTTTCAATGTTTCTTTCTCCCCATTATTATTTTTAAACTGTAGAGCAACTACTGTAA